CAAGTAAAGGAAAACTCAATGAAGTAAACAGAAAGAAAGATATTTTAAGATGTAATATTTTTATAAAAATTTAAAGGCTTAAGTATGTCATTAGAGACTGAATACATACTATACTGGGTCTGAGGAAGTAGTTTAAGATATAAAAATATGAAACTTTACATTTTAAATAAGTTGTGAGATTTGAATATAAATAAAGTTTATATGGGGTCTAAGATATAAAGATTTTAGGTATGGGAATATAAAAAGAATGTTTTGGGAAGAAGGAACGTATATGAAATGCAAGTTATTAGACTATGTAAAAGCAAATTATAAAATTCTGAGGATAAATAGGCTTAAGTAATGATAAAAAATGATTTGAGATGGATAAAAAATAAAACATGCTCTGGATTTCTTTCTCTTGCTATTCTGCTGTTACACTGAGACTCCAAAGGTTTTGTAGGTATGGATAAAAAAGTGGCCACAGGTATGTTTGGTTTTGAATGTCTGAGTTTGCATGTCCTTTGTATTAAGGAATACATGCTAATGCTAGTCATCCAGCTATCCAGATACTAGTTTAAAGCATAAACTGTTAACTCTTATGTAACAATAAGCTATTAAAAAAGAAATAAAACAGAACCTGAGAGGCCCATTTGACTAATATATCTACAGGATAACAAATTGACCTGGTTATTGTTACCAAACTTGGAGATGTTTTCAAGATTAGGCCTAGATTTGTTTAGCTCAGATATATTTAATAGACAATGGTCCACAAACCTGTCAAAGATCTGATGAATATGGCATTTAAATTATTTGATAAAAGGCATGCTAGCTCACTAGAACAAACAGAGACTCCCAGCTCCTAGCTTTAACTCTCAAGGTTTCCAAGAAGACCTGGAACAACGACTAGATGACACCCAGACTCAACACCTGCTGCCAGGGATCCAGCCTAGAATGGACATATGAGACACTGACAAGATAAGCTCAGTCTTTCCCAAAGTTGCCCCTACACAGAGAACTTTAACTGTATAGGCCCAGCAGCCAAGACTGATGCTGCCCTGACACCTGTCCTGCCAAGACTATGAAGACTACAGGAGCCTGGGATGATGGCAGTCTGGGCAATGGATAGTCTCTGCCATTCTTTAATAGATTTGGAAGTCTGTACTCAGGTAAAATTTATCCTTCTCAGATCTCTGATGGCATTGACAATTAGGTAGCTACCACTTTGTCAGCTTAGCAACATCAGGCAACCAGAGTCTTCCACGGGGTTGCAGCCACCTTATTAGTTCGTTGAACAATGAATAAATAATTAAAGCTACTAGGTCTCCTGAAAAAAAAAGAAAGAGACAAACAGGTTTGCATTACACGCTTCATATTAAGGGACAAACAGGCTTTAAACATAATTTGAAGTGGCTGTTCTTATAAAAATACTACAAAATTTCTCTCCTTTACCATACTGTCATTGCATTAAAACTTAAAAAGGTCATAATTTAACATTAATAGAATTCTGATAAGATAATAGAGCAATAACTGCTTACTGTTTGGATTATGAGCTCAAGATTTTGGATTTCTTATGGTTATCTTCTGATTGTAGACTTCCTTGAAATGCTCAGAGCAGCAAAGTTTTCTTCTACCTTGGAAACTTTGCAAATAGCTAGAAGAAGACTCAGCTGAAGGGTTCCTATCTATACCACTCAACAAATAAAATACTGGAAAACTGAATCCAAAAACACAATAAAAAAAATATCCACCATGACCAATTAGGCTTCATCCCAGGGATGCAAGTGTAGTTCAACAAACAAAAATCTATCAATGTAATACACCACATAAACAAACTGAAAGGAAAAAAAACATATGATCATCTCATTAGATGCTAAAAAAGCCTTTGACAAAATCCAACACGTCTTCATGATAAAGGTTCTAGAGATCTGGAATACATGAAACATACCTACATATAACAAAGGCAATTTACAGCAAACCAACAGCCAACATCAAAGTAAATTGAGGTAAAATCAAAGCGCTTCCACTGAAATCAGGAAAAGGACAAGGCTGTCCACTCTCCCCATATTTATTCAATATAGTACTTAAAATTCTAGTTAGAGCAATAAGACAACAAAAGGAGATCAAGGAGATACAAACTGGAAAGGAAGAAGTCAAACTTTCCCTATTTGCAGACA